ATGCATCTGAAGAAGTGAGGTTTTTACCCACGAAAGCTTATGCCCAAATAAATCTGTTAGTCTTTAAGGTGCCACCAGACTCCTTGTTGTTATTGTAGCTGGTGACAGAGCATTTGTTTATTTTTGTTCTTTGTTGAATGCCTGGATGCTAAATGTTAAGGCAAAAGGATCAGAGCTCTGTAAAACAAAATCTAAGACCGGGGTACACAGGCATTTATTTGATTTGAAGGCCAGATTTGATCATTTATACAGGATCTTGAAATATTTTACATTAAAAGGGCTACATATGTTTTATACGATACATACTACCAGGTCTTAACTGTTTATTGGCAAGGAAACTGAAGGCATGAACAGATTAAGTCACTATTTTGTTATGAATCTGCAAAATACTGTACAAGTATTTTGAAATTCTTAAAGTAGCTGATGTTTCTTCATTGAGATCTGCTCCATACAAAGTATTAAGATTAATAAATAACAAACATTTTTTCCTGTTTCTGCGAAACCTTGTTTCACAACTCTGGCAATTTAAAGAGTGAATTCAGGGAATTAAATATTAAGGTCTTGCACACATGCACTCACTGGCATCTCTGTGTAAATGTCTTTGTTTTTAGTAGATGGAGCACCAGAATAGGAATCGAGACGTGTTCTAGAATGATATTATTACTGGAACTTATCAACAAGTCTCTCCCCAGTCAGATGTTAGGGTATCTTTTAAGACATATCCCCCCACTTCTTCCCTACTCTTATTCCATCTCCTCTGGAACTGAATACATTGCCTCTCTAGCACACCTAATCTCTCCCCACCCCACCCCCCCAATGTAGAGAATGAGAGTTTGGAGCTGGCAGTCACTTATATTTGTTATTTAGTTAATAGTGGCATAGAAATAACAAATAAATATAGATATTTATTAAAAAATAAATCATGATAGATAGACATGGGATTAAGAAACAACAAAGATTAAGAGTTAGCAATGGGGTTCAATCACTTCAAAATCATTTTTAAATGGTCTTGTATTGTAACTTCTGTCTTTTTCCCATGCCTGTCAAACACCTAACACCATTTGGGTGCTATATTAATAATAATGATTTAATTATCATACTGTTGGCCCTTAAAGAGGAATGATGTTCAGTTGCTTTCACCCAGCATTTTGATTTGAATGAGCCTCTTAGAGTTGAAAAGCTCCCTGCATCATTGTCCTAACAGGCTGTTTTAATTGAATTCTTTTCCATTTTCTTTTTCTCCAGCACTCCAGTTCACGCCTGAGTTACCAAAGCAACATTCAGGGATCTTCTCAGTCCCAGAGTACAATGGGCTATTCCACATCATCTCAACAGAGCTCTCAGTATCATCAGTCTCATCAGTCTCATAGGTACTGAGACCTAATAGACTGCGCTTAGAAAGGAATGGACTAAAAGTCAAAAGACTCCAGCAATATGAAGTTCCTAACAATGAGAAGAACCAAAAATGCAAACTGTGATACAGATTTAAAATTCACAATTATAAAAGGAAAACTTTATTTACTGAAGATTTTTTTTCAATGACTCTGTTCCTTCTTTATTGCCATAAAGGAGATTCTTGTGAAGTGCCCCCCGCCCTCCCGCGTGCTTCCCTCGCATGTGTTCCATTGTGGTAACTCTAATGAAACCGTCTGATCTGAACCCAGCACTTAACTTCTTTAACCTATGGAATTTTTGAAGGATTCCTGGTGCACCTTTCTCATGCTGTAGTGATCGCCATAAATCTATCTTTTCAAATCTCTTTAATGGGATTTTAAAGTTTTAAAATCTTGAACTCCCAGGCTTTCAAGCTTGTATATAGTTAGTTTTATACTAGGCAAACCAGTTTAGCTATACAGGTATAATGCACCTTTTAAAAGCACTATGTTTTTTTCACAGGATATTACTGTTTTCCTCATGGATGTCAAGAACAGCAAATTTTACTGTTCCAGAGTATTTTACTATTCTGTTTGTATTAGTCTAGTTTTCAGGCGATGTCTTAGGGGAAAAAAAAAACAAAAAAAAATCAACCCAAGTCTCTGCAGCAGCTAATGTGCTTCATGGTACTGGACTGTTCACCAAACAGAAGATTGTGAATGTTTCCTAAATCTTTCATATTGAATCCCATACATATTATGACCATGTTCTGAGTAGTGCTGAATTAAGCATTATTTTAAACTAAAGCATGATACTTACATGAAAAGGAGATGCTTTTGGAGCGCCATTGGAATAGAGGAATGGAATGTAACAGAACGTCTTCTCTGGCTAGGCACCCAAAATAGCCAGGAAAATATATTTAGTGCCCTATGATCTCAGTAGAAGAGAGAATGTGGTTGAGGACTTATACTAGTCCTTGTTTAAAAAAACAAAACAAAACAAAAAACCACTTCTTTAATGTGTGTGGGAGCTCTATATATCTCCCTTTGTCAGTTTCCCTGAATCAATTATCTAAATATAAGACAACAAAAATGTAAAGGATTATAAAATAAAAAAACAAATAATTGTCCATTTTTATATAAGATCATCAAATTTAAGATAACTTATTGTATGTTTTGAAGAGCATGTTGAAAATTGTCTTCGTTTTTCATGTTTAATACGCAAATTCTTTATTCTTCACATTGCTGTGATTAATCCAGATTGGTTGCACTGAAATGTTTCTTTTTCCTAAGAGCAAACACATTGTGATTGTGCCTAAGGACCATAAGTGGATGGGTTACTAGCAGTCTATCCCAGGTAAATAATTAGAGCTCACAAGCATAATCGGAGGATCATTATCCAACTTTCGGAGCCACAGGTATTCAGAGACACATAATGTATAATTTGGAGCAGCTCCATTTTCCTTCTGTGTTTAGAAATAAGGCTGATGAATTTGATTGCACTAAAACTGGAAAGACATTCATGTACTTTAGAATGTTCCTCGCTGTATGAGCAGCACCAGTCTTTTTTAATTGATTGCTGGAGAAGAAGTCAAGAAAGGAGCAAATTATGTTTAAGCAATGCATATTACGGACATGTACACTACACAGTGTGATATCATGTTTAGTTGTGTTCTATCCTGAATCCATGCAAGACTTTAGACATAACCACTATACATTCCACACTAAAATTGTGATAGAAACTAGGCAGGTGGTAGATCCTTTGTCTGAGGAGAATGTTTTTTCGTCCCAGTTAGAGTAATAAGTATTTCCATTGAGAGTGAGCTCCCAGTCACGTTTAATGTTTTTTTTCCTCTCACAAAAATGTTTTGCTTTTATAACCAATTGGAAACCTGGTTTGGCCACACCAGCTGCCACAAGACTTTGCTCCGTTTGCCGATGACACCAGGCTTCTCTGAAAAGTGACTGAAGAAAGAATGGGCAAGAAGTGATAAAAATGAAATGAAGCAATTTGAAGGAAAATATAAATTATTATTAGGACAAACCCATCTCCTATTGGATACTTTCCATCTTTATTCTTTGTGATACTACATGTCCTGTGCTTCTGCGTAGCTTAGTTGGCAGGAACTGATTTTAATTGTTGATAAATGTTTTTACCTGCTTGCAATGTATCTGGGCTCGAAAGATGCAAGTCCCCACCTCTTAATGATGTCAGTGGGAGTCCCATGTCTATCTGAAGGAGAATTTTGCCCCTGCCCTACAACAACATTATTGGATATTCTTGTGACTGGCTTCCAATTTTCTGGATACCAGGCTCTGGACATGCTGGTCGTTGTCTCCTGTCTTCTTCATATCCCTCTGTCCTCTCAAAACACCATTAGCTATTGTAACATAATTGTCTAAAGTTTGTCCCCCTCCCACCTGCTTTTATTCATCATCAAATTATTGATGGTGGCAGGGGGACAAAAATCTGCTTGTAGTTAAGCTGGACTCTTATAGTGCCAACAAAGCTGAATCATAGTGTAGGTTCATCGATGTGTGGAGTGCAAAGATACACAGCATTATAATGTGCTTTAATTCAATGAGCTTCCATTCCCTAGAATGACTGCTATCACCATTGTCTAAACTGAATAGATAATTCTGTATTTGCTAGATCTAAATTGCTTGCTGTGCTTTAGCCCCTTGCAGCTTCTGTGCACGTGCAAAGCTGAGCTAACTCCTCCATTGCCTTCAAAATAAAAGTAGAAAGGGGAATAAATAAAAGCAGTGGTTACTGCTTAAAAATGTTTACTGTGCACGTTTGCTCGCTTTCTCTCTCTTTGTCAGTTGGTGTTTGGATATTTGGCCTTTTCTGGTGAGCTATGTGTGAATTTCAGGGTGGATGGAAGCCAAGGTGAGAGAGACTTGTTCAGAGGTAATTTCATGAGGAAAAATGCTCTTTGTATTCAGAGGTTAATCATGTAATATGTTATGGGAACCCAGGATCATGTATATTTTTCTACCTGTGCAGTTTTGGTAATTGACACTTATTATTATTCACAGTTTTGACCGTACCCATAACCTCTGTGTGCCCTCAGAAAGGTATTTCACACTGGCAACTAGAAATGGAAAGTGACATCAACTTGATCGTTTTCTCATTCCTGTTCCCTTGGTGAAGCAGTGGACAGTCAAATACCATCCTGCAATGTTTCTCATCTGGTTTTTGGAGAAGACAGGAGAGTGAGGAATGGGATTAGCAGCATAGTCTACATTGGTGAAGTTTATGTAGCACAAACTGCACAATGAAGGAAGAATATTGTGAAAGCTGCGAGTCCTGCACTGTATCTGTGACACTGTATCTTTTGGGGGGAGGGAAGAGCATTCTGAGGGGAGGGTTGGGGGTAGCTTGAAGTATTCAAATATGTCTAATATTTTATATAAACATATTAAAGCTTAGTTCCCCTTTGTAATCTTCAGTAATGGTACTTAAACACCATTAAGCAAAGAATTGTTTTAGGATTAAATAAATGTATTGTACATAAGGCCATATGTAATCTTCTAAAAGTGTCGCCACACAGGAGTGATATGTATTACTATATGAAAAAAATCCTTAATGCACTGTTATCTCCTAAATATTTAGTAGTAAATTAATACTATTTAATTTTTTTAAAAATCTGTCTTGTGTAGACACTAAAAAGTATTACACAAAATGTGGACTGAAGATGTCCTTTTTAACAGCAATTTAAAGAACTTTTTATATATGTAATGTAGTATACTTTTCAAATTGTTCTAGTTTGTATTCTCCCAAGTTTACTATTGGTGGAAGCGTGTCTGTTTCTCTTCAGTTATTTTTTTTATAATTTCATGCACGTATCCTTCATTTTTGTAGTTTTTATTATAGATTACTGCATATGCTCTTCATGCTGCCACAAAGCTTTGCTGCTTTAGCTCTATGGTGGCCACATACAGCAATACCCATGCTGATGGGTTTGCAAAAACACAAAACAAAATATTTGTTTCTCATTCTAGAGCTAAGAGTTTACTGCTTTTAAGTTGTCCTCATGTCGCTCTTGAAATGACTGTTAAAACTGAACTATGAGTTCATTGCATTTATTTTATATTCCTAGTTGTCATGAAATTGAATTGACTTTGCTTCAGTGTGAATTTTTTTAATACAAATAATATACATTTGTAATAATAATAATAATAACAATAATAAAAGGTTCAAATCAAAGAAGTGTGCTGGAAAGTTGTGAACATCAGACATTGAGTTACAAAAGAAGCAATGTATCCTGCAGAGTTGCAACCTGTAATTGTATTCAGATGTTTATGATATCATAAACCACACAAAACAGAGCTTGTAAAACCTCCAGTTTGGAATTATAGCCTTTTAAAATACCCAAGAGGGTATTCGTGTTTTGTATGTACGGAAATAGAATGAAACTTTATGGAAAAACAAAACAGGTGGAATGCTTGGTGTACTCTCTCTAAAGTGATTTAGCATGCAGCTTGGATACCACTTATAAAAATATAAAACTACCAACCTGGTGATTTTACATATTTGTCTTCTAAAAAAGCAGTGCATTTGGAGACTAAGCCTCCCCCCCCCCCCTTACCTCTTCCTCCCCCCCCCCATCCCATTTCTAGGCTATCTTTGAATATAATTCTCCCAAGTGTCTAGGGTGACAGCATGTTAGATTGGAGAACATGAGCTGGGGAACTCAGCTCTGTTTTTCAGGTTGATTTTCTGTGCTTCGTTGGCCTGCATATAATTCCACGAGTCAGTTTTTCAGAGATGGTTGTTATACTGCGTTTACCATAAACTGCACCCATTTTCTCCATCCCAGCTATGTGAGAGAGAATGGCTGCCACTCACTTGCGTCTCGACTGACACCAAAAAAGAGGCTTGAATTTCTGCTGTAACTTTAGGACAAGGTAAGAACACGCTGTACCCTTGTCACTACTGCTGGTTTCTAGCAAATAAAGAGTTCTGACTGATTCCTCCTCCCTGATGCGTCCAAGGATTAGGTTTAACATGATGCATGCCTGCTATCAAAGAGGTTTCTTTTACTTTGTGTCTGCACTGGTGACTTGCATTTCCAGTGTGTAGTACCTTTCACCTAGAAGGATCCCAAAACATTTTCCAGATGATATTTACAAATTATAGGAATCTCTTCATCAAGCATTCCAAGGGGCTGCAACATGTGTGGTTATGTTTATTCCTCTTGACGAGAGCAGGGCTGGTTAGCCGGTGGAAGTAGACATGGTTATATAAAGGATTCTCTGCCTACATTACTCCACTTACTATGTTTTTTCCTCTTCTGCTTGTACTTGGTGGAGTGCAGCAGCAGCAGCAGCCTTTCGAAAACCCTGGTACATTGGAATGTACAGCATTGTCTCAGAGATCATTCATCATTCCCAGCAGTGTGCTTAAGTTGGATGCCAGCCTTTGAGGTCTGGCATCCTGTGTCAAAGAGCTAAGTTTATGACTAATGATCTAAAGAAGAATCAGCCCTGCAGCATCCAGCCATTTATGGGTAAGGGCTGCAAAGACAGTGTTTAAGAGAAGCTTATGCTAAGAGTTAGCACCAAAGCAGAGGAGAGGCAACAAAAAGTGTCTTAAAGAGAGAATATTTGTTGCTGATTGTGAGATACAAGTTCTGAACATTCTGAACAGAAAATCAGGCTGAAACTTTAAGGGCAATAAATTGTTACTTCAGGTGGTTTTACAAATATTGATGGAGGGAGTGTGGAAGGCAGTGTTGTCTGGAGGAATGAGCACAGACTTAGGAGTCAGGGTCCTGCATTCACACTTTGGCTCTATTACTGATTCCGTGTGGCCTTAAAGTCACTTCTCCTTTCTGTCTGTTTCCTCATTTATAAAATGGGGATAATACTTAGGTATCTCACTCACAGTAGTGGTTTGAGGATTAGTTAGTTTTTGTGTAGTACTTTGAAAATGTACAGCACTACAGAAATGCTAGGTATTATTAACTCAGTCTAGATAAACTCAGAAGTTTAGCATTGTTCCAGAGGCCAACAAAGGATAACGTTGACCTGAAATACTATTTAACAGACATTGGTTTTTCATGCAAGTGAACTTCATGCCCTTCTTTTCCAACACAGAGCGATGTATGGTCAGCAAATGTGATTTGGTTTTGCATTTTTTTAATATTCAGGAAAAAAAAATTTATTGTTGCATCAAGACACTGCAGGGATTGATTTTTTCATTAATGAATTAAATATTTATTAGCGCAACCATTATAGTGATTGAAACAACTAATGTTGTTGTGAAGGATGTGAGTAATGGGACTTTAGATACAATCAGCCTGTAAAATACTGTGCTATTCCCAGAATTCTTATGCAACAATAATATCCACAGTAAATGTTTTAAAAAGTCATAATCCCTCATTCTGACAACATTTAAAATCTGACGGTTATTGCCAGCATACATAATATTTTTCTTTTAGGTAATTGTATGAAAACACTATCACAGGATCAGTGTCTCTAGCTTTGAAAATAAACATCCTGGCATGCATGTGCAGTATTTGTGAGAAAGCATTATCTGTGAGACTGTGTTCTTTGGAGTCCCTTAAATAGGATGAAGAATTTGGAAGAAAGTGTAAATTGCATACTGTTATTATGTGCCTTCAACATGTGGCTAAAAATGTTGTCTTCTCTTGTCTGTGAATGAAATAAGTCAGCAAAGCATTCCCTGGGCTATGTTGCCTTTAGGTGCCATTCCATATCAATGCATTTTAGATGCCAATAAAACAAAATGAGTCAAATTGATGCCTGAAATCAATTGTTAAACAAGGGATCTATTTGCCCCAGTAACGTCACTGCTAAATTGGAGTCATTCTTTGTGGATGTAAATCTAAACTAGCAGTGAAAGTTACTAACACAAATTAGCTAAGGACTCTTCTCTCATTTTTAAACGTGATTTTTGAATCAATAGTTTAAAAAGAACCCTCAGATTTCTTCTGTTGGAAGACACAGAACCTGTGATATGAAATGTAATCATAATGATATGTTCTATACTGTCTCCATCCCACAAGAAACTGAGAATACAAGCAGCGTAGGTAATGTATACATGCAGGGGCCAGGACAATGGGGCCCCAATCTTGATTGAGGCACTCTGTGTGATACGGTAATGGAAATAACCAATGTCATCAGACTTTTCCAGCCTAAGTTTAAAAAAAACAAAAAAACAAAATCTAGGTCACTTTGCATAAAGCAACAGTTCAACACTGAGAGGATGCATATTATGCTGTAAACTAGCCTAATTAATTAACCTGAAAATTACTACAGCAGGGGAACTTTCAAACTGACAGAACCATTACAAATGTAAACCTTTAGAAGGAAAAGAATGTGGAAAAGGCAGGAAGGACACATGAGATGTCTAAAATTAGTGCTTAGTTGATGACTATTTCCATGCAATCTATGGTAACCCCTTTATGCTAGGCAGGTAGAAGTCAAAAGACTTTTGCTTTTAGACTCCAGGATTCCTCCAGCAGGCAAAGCCCAGTGTAACATTTCACTGTGGTTTGCTCATGCAAAATGTCTAAGGTTATCTCCTAAATCTCCCTGTGTAGTATAGCTGATGGGTTCTTACCAATACAGTTTACCACATTTCTGCTGAAGAGACACCTACAAAAAAATTGTAATCAAGTTTCTTAGTTATTCTGCTTATTCATACATCCAAATGTGTGTGTGTTAAGACATGGTCTGTTAGCCAAAAATGTGATTGAATAGGATACCCTGAACAGCCAAAATAACTAAGTATAGCACTCTCAACATTCATATTTCAGTGAGGTTTCAGATATACACAATGTGTCCCAGCTTAGGATGCTCAAGGCCAGACATTCTCAAATGAGTAACATGAGAACTTCTTTCATCTATATACATGACCAGCTTCCATTTCTACAGTTACAAGAGGGTAAATCCATTATCTAAGCTAGGACTACTGTGCTGTGAGGCAAAACCACCCAGCATCCCACAACGCTGGGTGATCAGTATTACATATAAATCACAGGCTCCCAAGCTTCCATTTTATAATGGATGTTCACAAGCTGCTTTGGAAATGAAGCTGCAAACTACGTAACAGTTCTTTCAACAGAGACTAGATGGCTCAAGGGGTGGCATATTCAGACATTCACCTCTGAATTGCCACCTTAATGTCACCCTATGCCAGCAGCAACTGCAAATTGTTACCATCTGATGGCTTTTTGGTGGCCTGTAAGAACTGAGTGTGATGGGCAAAGTGAAGTCCAGTTCCTAATGGGCAGTTGTCCACATTACAGAAGCCAACTGACACGAACTGGCACCCTTACTGGAAGTCTCAGGAGAGAGGCCAA